ACAGGGATGGGCTGTCTAGAGGCGGCGAATGGGAGTGGTCACTCATCTCAGGTCGCAAGCTGCTGTTTAAATTAAGAAGACTGCAGAAATCCTCTATGAGGCAGTCTCCCAGATTTCCCTGGGCTTGTTTCCCCTACGGGATGCGTGAGGCTTTTCTTGGCCAGGGCTGGAGGCCCTGGGGGGCTGTGGTATGGGTGCCGCGCTGACTCTGGCGGGGAGGCTGGGAGCACGGGGCGGCTCCTGCTGGCTCGGGCTGGGACTGGCTCTCGAAGCACTTTTCTTTCCCAGGGCTTATCACAGTTTGTAATTGCATGTTTTTGTGATTAATGGATTTTGCCTGGGAGGATCCTTGTCCGTGTTGCCAGATTCCCAGGAGGATGGGGATTAGGGCTTCTTGCTGCCTGCTATGTCTGCGGAGCAGGGCAGCTGGCACAGCTGGGCACAGCTTACCAGCGTTTGATAAGTATTTGTGGAAGGAAAAGGAGCTGTAGAAATCCAGGCCAGCTTCAGGATGTTAAACCCTGCTGAGTGCTAGCAATCTCTTGGAGGTATCCTCCCTTTTTATGGGAGAACTCCACCTCCCCTGGGGCCTGACTGATGACAATTCCCTTTTTCTTGTCTTCACCGAGGAGACCTCAGCTACCAACTCAAGGGGATGCCTCCCCCCTCTTTTCCTTTCTCTTTCCTTTTTAGGTAGTCAATTTTTTTTTTTTCCCCTTCAAAGGCAACCTTATGAGGAATTCTAATCCAGAACCAACTGAAAGCAGAGTTGCTCACAGCAACTCTGGAGGAGGGAACGGGACCTTCACAGGCCTCCCCTCTGTGAGCTCCTGAGGCTTCTCCGATGATCCCTAGAGAGAGCTCCGGTTGGAAAAGCCCACCCCGGAATGGGGAGGGGTGTGCAAAGGATCCTCCCCAGCTGGAGACACGGGCCTTTGAGACTCAGAATCAGTGGAACCTGGGCCGTTAGACCTTGACTCAGACTTGAATGTTGGGTCCACACTCAGACCCCACCCAGGAGACAGCCTCCCCTAGAATGCAGGTTCCAGCTCTTGGGAGAAATGTCTCCATCTCCTTGTCCTCATCTTGTAAAAAGACAGCTCGTTCCCCAAGCCCAGGAATCGGGACAAAACACAGTACAACCACATAAGAAAAATAACTTTGTTATTAAGCATATATAATCTTATCAAAAGTACTTCATAGTATCATATCCATAACTGTTTGAATATTAGCTCAACTGCGATATGGACCTGTTATAAATAATGAACCCGGCTACTGAAGTACAGGACAGGTCAAAGCGAAACAAAAACGGTCGTGACACACACAGAATCCTCCAGGGCACGTGATTTTGGGATCTCGGAAAGAACGTGGAGGGTCTCTGGAGGTTGTGTTGAAGGGTCGGTCTTCTATGCTTTCCCTAAAGCAGTAATATTTTTTGAAGGAGCCTGTGAAGTCCAAGATTTTATGCTTTAACAATTACAGGCATGGGTTTTTTTTTCCCTTCAAATGGAAAATTATTTTTTGATTTGTTGGGAAACACACATGCTGACCGTGCCAGGAAAAACTTCATCTATTTCCCTGAATTTGTTACTAATAACTTGAGATGGCTCTGTTCTATTAGCTGTTTGGCTTGGATTCCCATAAATGAATTTCCTTTTCAGGAAGGTTATCGGAGAGATGTTAAGGTTGCACAATGAGGCTGCTGTCTCTCTGTGACAGGCCGGCCTTGGGGGAGCAGGGAAGGGACCGTGATACCCAAAGCATGATGAGGGACTTGCTCTTGGTGCAAGGAGAAGCCTGGGACCTAGTCACAGCCATGATCTTCCCCTGCCTGCCTGGGAAAAGCCATCACAGGGCAAACAGTAGTTGTGAATCCTGGAGAAGGAGCATGACCAGAACCGGGGTGCCCTTCACCTGGTCTTTGGTGGGGTAATACTCCTGCCCCCATGCTGGTGTGCATTTGTTACATTTATCTGGGTTGGCTCTGGGCCCACCTGTCTGAGTTTATACAGCAGAAATGAGCTCAGTCGGTCAGTTCACTCGGTGGCGGGGGCTGGAACTAAGACAGGACAGAGAAGACAGCGTTGCCTTTGTACCCCCACGCTCTTTGGCACAGGAAAGCTTATAATTTCTCCTTTTGGGACTGGGGAGGGAGGGAGGATTTTCCTAAACTAAAATATATTCCCTCCTTGCACTATTTTCAACAGCAAATTTTTATGGCCATGGCTTTCCAAAAACAAAAACAATGATTAGGTCCCTATTCTAAATTCTAGGTATCAGGATGCACAAAATGAGAGTCAACATTCTACAAAGATCCTTTTCCCCCAATCGAACATGGGGATGGGAGTGGCTTAGCAAAGCAGTAGCGAATTTTACTCCCCATTAGGTTTTGAGAAGCCCTGTTCAAACAGTGAGCTTTGACTTTCTACCCATAACCTAAAGATACATTAGGATTAACAGTGATTATGTTTTTCTCTTTGAAAAGTATAATTTGGGCATACAGAGTACCGATTTGATCCTGAGTAGCCGTCCAAGTTCTGAAGATCTGAGGACGAAAATTATAATCTGTCCTCATCTCGCAGACTGAAATTATACAACACAGGTTATTGGGTTTTGCCCGAGATTATGATCTAGAGTAGGCTCACGAATTCCAGAGATTATTTCCTTCAGTTCTTTTTTAAATATATTATCCTCGCCTCTGGCCAAACATGCCATTTGGATGCATTTTAGGAGCATTCGACAATAAAGGAGTTTATATTTCTAAACACAAATCCTCATTAAAAAAAAAAAAATCAAAGACGGATCTAATCATTTTTCATAAGGCCTGTAAATAATTTTGCTTTAGCACTCATCCATCCACACCCTTTAAATATTGTGTTCTGCAAACAGGCAACGTTAAATGCGTTCCAGATGGGAATCCTCAGCTGCTTAGCTCAGCTCTCCATGAGCCCTGGGGGTGGCGAGGCCCTCGGTTGTGACGATCGGACTCTGGAGAGACTGCAGGGGGAGGGAAAATGCTAGAAAAGGAGCACTGAGAAGGTGTTTGCTTGTCGCTGTGACTTTCTGGTGGGCTGGCCACTGGGGATTTTGTATCCTCGCTGGGAAGAGACAGCGAGGCCAAAGGTCCGCGAAAGGCCCAGCCAGCGGCCGACCGACTAGAGTCAGGGCTAGTACCTTGATGGCGACAAGGAAAGGCAGGCCGGTGTCACGGGGCCCTCGCAAACGGAAGCCCTTCCTGGCTTTCCGGAGAGAGAGACTATTGCAAGGTGGCAGTCTCCCACATGCCAACAGCGCTCTCTTAGACAAGCTTCCCCAGCAGGAGAGCGAAGTGATGGGCAAAAAAGAAAAAGAGAAGGAAACAAACACCTCTCAGAAATATGGGGAGAAATCGCAGGGAAGAGGAACCCCACCACGAGCAGGCGCAAGTGTGCCCGTGACCGTCTTTGAGGCTCAACAGAGGGGGGACGGGCCCCCGATCAGGTAGCTGCATTTCTGGGTGGCAGATGCCAGCTTCCTGGAGGAAAACTGCGCTCCCCTTCAAAACCAAGAGTTTCCCTGATCGTGTTCCAAAGGAGCAGATGCTTCTGCTGGTGTCTTCATGGTTCACTCTTGTTCCTGTTTTCTAAGGAACCCGAGGAAGTCTTTTCTGAAGTATGTCTCTGTCTGGGACCCAGAGGTGTATGGGTGGCTACAAGACTCAGTGGCAGCTTCGAGAATACTCCCCTTTCCCAGCCACTCCCCACTTCTGCTTAGGAAGGGGGATCAAGGAGAAGGTCTGTGAGAACTAGAACTTGGATAAAATGATGGAAAAATAAGGAAAAATGGGAAGAGTGGGAAGGAAACTTCTGCCAAACAAGAAACATTGTTATTTCCCTCGGCATCCAAGAGAACTTCCAATAGTGTGTTACTCTCTGCGTTGGCGAGCTTTGCTGGCCCCAGACAAAGAGTTCCAATTCCCAAGGAGAGCAAACAGACTTGCCTCTGCGGATTCCGTGGGGATCCTGCTCGAGGCTCTCCTTCTCCCTCTCCGAAGACCAAAGCAGACAACCTCCTTCCAGCCTCCGGCTCCTGTGCATGTTGATATAACCAGGATCGTGGCGTAATGGTCCCTCCTTGGCACCCAGTCAGAGGCGGGCCATTCAGTGGGGTTCCCTAAGGGTCAGCCACTCTCATGTAACGATCCATGACTTACTGAGCAAGCCCACTCGTTTGATCACGTAGCTTTAAAACGTCTTGGCAAACCAGGAGCCCATTATTTTAATGGGAATCCAGGCGCTTCATTCATTTACTTTGTTTTGAGAAGAGGATTTACTCCTACAGCAAGAGGAACAAACGTACAGAGATGCATGGCATAAACCCTTAAGTGTCATTTTTGAATTTAGAATGTGGTAACTTACAGGACAAGAAATACAAGATTACAGTTTCCCTCCATCTTCTCTAATCTCTGCTCCTTCTTATTTCCCTCCTTCCTTTAATCAAAATTGGGAAACAAGGTTGGACAAGAGGATAGAATATTTTAAAATATATTAGTTTGACAAGGAAAAAGAATTATACACCAAGGTAAATATACAGTGTTGTTTTCCCCTTTTAATTAAAGAAAGTTAATTTTGATACTGAGTAATACTCTGTTTTGGACACATACCTTTTTTTTTTTTAATAAGTAACCTCATATGTTCTCAGAGCTCACCTTGCCACTTTTCCCTTTGGATATTTTGCCAAACTTTAAGACACTGTGAGAGTACGTAACTCAGAAATTCAGAAATTCATGAACAAGAAGGAAGTAAAAGGAAAGTTCCTGTGTCTCCCTCCCCGCCCTCCCCACACCCCCCAAGCTGGCTGTGGAGGGAAGCGTGTAAAATTAATGACTTACTCCTTCACGTGTCTGGCAGGGGACTCTGAACACAGTGTTCGGAAGAAGAGCAGGAGGGAGAAGGCAGGAAAAGAGTTAAAGAAATTAAAGTTGTATCTTTTTAGGTCTCCAGTGGGTTGGTTTTTTTTTTTTTTTCTTTTTCTTTTTTTGTATAGGATTTAACTGCAGGTGAAAAACACTTTTCCCCTCCTTTGGCATGATGATAACAGGACATGCTAAGGATAAAAGTCTCTGGTGGGTCCCAAGTCCCTCATCTCGGTTCTTTTTGGGTACTCGTCTCCAGAGCCAAAGTCCATGGTTTCCGGGTAGCTGGAAAATTCCTGAGGTAAAGGGAACTCCTCCGCTGACGAGTGTGTCCGGTGCCCAAACACCTTCTCCTGCAGCTCGGCAATGTCATTGCGGATGTCAGCCAGCATAAGTAGCAGGAAGTCGAAAGACCCAGGGGGTCCCTGTGCACGGGAGAGGAATCAAAGCCAGAAGACCACAGACTCAATCCTGTGCGAAGCCACGGTTCTGTGGGCGCCATGATTTGCTATTCCTCCCCCTGCTGAATGGTAACTACTTCGTTGACAACTCTGTGTCCCAAATGGAGTAAACAAAACTACTATAGTAGCCAGGTGGGGTGGGGGGGGCGTTCTTAAGATCACCTCCTAATTCCTTCACCTCCCGTATGGGCTGCGGTGACACAGTCTATCTCCTCCCTCCTAATTCTCAGCTACATCAAATCTGGTAGAATTAAAGAATATGAGAAGAACCCTCCTACATTACTTTCCAAAGAAAATGGGGTAACACAGAGTAACACAGATGTGGGGATTCCGGGTTTGCCTGGGTGGCTCAGTTGTTAAGCGTCTGCCTTTAGCTCAGGTCATGATCCCAGGGTTCTGAGATCAAGTCCCGCATTGGGCTCCCTGCTCAACAGGAAGCCTGCTTCTCCCTCTCTCCCACTCCCCCTGCTTGTGTTCCCTCTCTCCCTGTCTCTCTCTCTGTCAAATCAATAAGCGGGGTCATTAAAAAAAAAAAGAGGTTGGGATTCTTTTGGGTCTGAATCTCAGCTCTGTTGCTTACTAGCTAGTCTTGGGCAAGTTACTCAGTTTCTTTGGGTTTCCATCTCCCTATCTGTAAAATGGAGATAATAATAATCTTAACATCGTAGGGTTTCATTAGTGAGGATTTAAATGAGTTAATAAATAAAGGGCTTAGAGCATCGTAAATGCTCTAAATGTTATCTTTTAAAAAAGGAAACAACTGGGGCGCCTGGGTGGCTCAGTGGGTTAAGCCGCTGCCTTCGGCTCGGGTCATGATCCCAGGGTCCCTGGATCGAGTCCCGTGTCGGGCTCACTGCTCGGCAGGGAGCCTGCTTCCCTTCCTCTCTCTCTGCCTGCCTCTCTGCCTGCTTGTGGTCTCTCTCTGTCAAATAAATAAATAAAATCTTTAAAAAAAATAAAAAATAAAAAAGGAAACAACTAAGATGTTTTTAAAGGTCATTGACTATAACTGTGACCTGAATGCAGTTGAGAGTATGTTGTAAAGACATCCATTCCCCATTGACCAGGAAAGGTGTATGGCCTTCCTAATTTTTCTATGGATTGAACATTTTTTTATCATTGTATGGTATTTGTTAACCTTTGACTTCTACGTAGCGCCGTGCAGGACACGTCAAAATAACGCATGAACGGGCAAGGTCAGGGCTTGTTAGTGGCTTGCAGTAAACATCTTTATTGCCTATGGCCTCTGATGCTGTAGCTACCGCCTTTGAAACAGCGACTCCATCTGTAAAGCAGTTACAGGTAGACAGTGTTTTGATAGTAACTAATGCTCCTTTCAAGGGAGGAAGCTCGGATTACACTTGCCATGGCACAGGTGAGTGGACAGAGAGACGCCCAGGGGTGCTAAGGATGGCCAGGATCTGATGGCTCATCTGTGGAAGGGCTGGGTGAGAGCCCAGACTGCCTACATCTAAGCCGAGGCTGTCTGTCTTCAGAAAGGACACCGATCCTTTCAAAAGCAATGGAGTTGCTTGAATTTCCTATGCTTTGGTTACTACTAAGGTTCCTTTTTTAATCTCCCAGACACCAACATATATCCAAAACGGGCCCAAGCAGCTGTGCAGGTCTCTGAGGTTTTTTTGGGAAGAGCTGGTCATCGGATCTGCTCGAGTTGCAGTGGTGGCTAAACTCGTAAGTGTTCAGAGTTAGGAGAGCCCCATCTGATGTTTTAGGACATACTCGGAAGTAGACTCATAGCGTATATATATATATATTTTTAAATCTTAAGGGAAGATCTTCCACATAAAGATTAGCCATGTTAAAAGAAAAAGAAAAAACCCAGAAAACAAATTAAAAAAAAAAAATCCCAACCAGCTCTTAAAGTCCTCCGAGATTCTCCTCCTCACCCCTAAGTTCCCCTTGGGTAGGCTGAGTACTGGCTGGAAGGGGCTGGCTGTTGGCCAAGTTAACAGGCTCATCAGAGCTACATCCTTGAGGACATTACCCGGAGGGAGGGGGGCAGATAGTGCTACTCACTGGCGACCCTCTGGGTCCAGGAGCTCCTCTCTCTCCCTGCAAGCAGAAAGGTCACATTAGCTTTGTGGACTGTGTGGGATGCCTCCCCCAGGCTCAATGGAGATCCCCGCCGTCACCACTGCCTTACATAAACAAGTATTTTCTATCAGAAACAAATGGAAGCTTGAAGCTGGACTCAAGGGACCCTTTGTTTGAACAGAACTGCTGGGGTCAAGTGTCTCTCATTCTGATTTCCCCTGGGGCTGTGGATTTTCAAACCAGACCTGACAAGAGGAATGCTTGTATTTCCAGGCAACGTGTGCAATATCTCACCAACTTTCTAGAGTGATGCACACTGACTTATTCGTGGGATGAGACGTGGGCAGCCCAGGAACTGAAAGCACCCACTTGCAGTGACGGGAGCTTTTCCTGTTCTTGATGTAAACACGTCAAAGGAGTGGGGACACACCACACAGCCCTGCCGAGGAGCACCGGCCCAAGAGAAAGACCCCTGCTGCACGGGGCTTGTGTAAAATGTATAGAGGTGCTCATTCATAGGGATGGTTTTGGGTTTTTCTTTTTTTATTACAGTTGTTTGCATCTTAGATTTTCTTTCTAGCTTGGAGGAAAAAGAGTGTCCCAATTTTGCAACGTGCGAACTGGGGAGAGGAAACAGTGCTCGGGCTTTACTCGATGCCCGCCCAGTAGGTTGCAACTGGGAAAACTTGGGCTGTAAGGACCACTCGGAAGACTGACCTTAGAGCCGTCTCTTCCTGGTGCACCTGGCGGACCCTGCAAGACAAAGGGATCTAGTTCAATAGAAGGAAAACGCATGGGACAAGAACGTGTTGTCCCCAGCAATAGTAAGTGGATCTCTGATAAAATACTGACCACGGGGCCCCTCCGGCCTTGCTTAATGTGGGACAGATCAGGAGATGGTCCCATGGGTCCCATCGAGCCCCGCGGGCCAGGCTGCCCGGGAGGTCCTGGGACACCGGGGAAGCCCGGGCTTCCCTTTGGTCCCGGTGAACCTGTAATCAAAGAAGAGCTCGTTAGATCTACATCCCATGAGGACAGGGGCTCTGGCTGCCCAGGGTGTTGGGGAGCCCTTTGCAGCCATTTCTCCTTGCGATCTGCCATCTGCCTTCTGACGTCTCTAAGACACCCTACAGGCATTTTAAACTTAACATGATCAGAATTCTCCATCCTTACATAATCGTTGTAGACCACATTTCTCCAAAAACATCTCGACATCCCTTCTCTGTAAGAGAATTAACAGCTTACTTCATTGTGTACCACAATACTATACAATGTCTCTGTTTATATATTAGATATGAATATATACATTAGCTATACATCAAATATAGATGTATATAACTGTATCCATACACACATATTCACAACACACACACTCCATACAGGTTTATGTAGTTGTTTATGGGTACCGTTGTTCTCTGAATTTCCTGACATCTAAAAACTGGGAGATTTCCTAGAGAAATCTGGATTTCTGGCATCTGTTTGAAGACGGGAAGAATTAAAGCCTGGACCACTATTTTGCCATTGGCACAATGGTTTGGTTATTCCCTGCTGCTCACAGGTTGCCCCTTTCTTCACTTGTGTCACCTGCCAGGTCCCTGTAGACATTGTGGGTTTTGTTTTTATTTCTTTTCTGAGGCCTAACGTGACAGAGCACTGGGGGTATTTGGAGTTTAGGATCAAGCCGTAGGGCTGCTTTTGTGGCTGTCTGAGGGCCGGCGCGTGTCCATACCGATCATGGAGGCTGACGGAGAACTGACCTACAGGCCTCACCTACCTTCACCTACGCACACGGAGAGTTGGAAACAGTCTCTCTGGCGTGGCTATTAAGTTGTAGGGCAGCACCTGGGTGCAGACCTCAGGACATCTGCCTCTGCCTTAGGCCCTGAATGTCAGCTGGGGGCAGGGGGTGGGGGGAAGGGGGGTGAGCGCTAGGAGAGTACTTTTCTTCATTGTAGTAAATGATACATAGAGGTGGTTATTTTAACTACTTTAAGATGGACAGGTTAGTTGAGTTAAGGACATTGACCTTGCTGTGCAACAGATCTCTGGAACCTTTTTATCCTGCAAAGCTAAAACTCTGTACCTACTGAACAACAAGTCCTCATCTCCCTTCCCCCAGCCGCTGGCAACCACCATTCTACTTCTTGTCTCTATGAACCTGACTGCTTCGATGACTTATTAGTAGAATCCTATGGGATTTGTTTCTTGCGACTGGCTCATTTCACTTAGCAGAACGTCCTCAAAGATCATGTTACAGTGTGCAACAGGGGTTTCCTTCCTTTTAAGGCTGAATGACATTCCCCTGCTGTATATACCGCCTTTGGTTTACCCACTCATCCTTTGCTGGACGCAGGTAGCTTGGCGTACAGTATGCAAACATCTCTTCGAAATCTTGCTTTTGATTCTTTTGGATATTATACCCACGTGTAGGATGCTGGGTCATATTAGTATCACTTGTAATTTTTTGAGGAACCTCTACCCTGTTTTCTGCAGTGGCTACACCAGTTCACATTCCCACTAACATGGTGCAAGGGGTCCCTTTTCTCCACATCCCCACCAACACCTGTTCTGTTCTTTTCTTGACAGTGGCTCTCCTGACGGATGTGAAGTGATGCCTTGCTGGGTTTGCATCTCTCTATGACGAGTGATATTGAGCGTCTTTTCATGCGCTTGTTGGCCATTTGTATACCATCTCTGGAGAAACGTTTATTCAAGTCCTTTGCTTTTTTTTTTTTTTAAGATTTTATTTATTTATTTGACAGAGAGACACAGCAAGAGAAGGAACACAAGCAGGAGGAGTGACAGAGGGAGAAGCAGGCTCCCCATCGAGCAGGGAGCCTGATGTGGGGCTCAATCCCAGGACCCTTGGACTCATGACCTGAGCCAAAGGTAGATGCTTAATGACGGAGCCACCCAGGCACCTTTTCTTTGCTTATTTTTATATTGAGGTTATTTTTTATTGTGGAGTTGTAGTTTTTTTTTTTTTTTTCCTATTCTGGATATTAACGCCTTATCAGGTAAATGATTTGCAAATATTTTCTCCCCTCTGTAGAATGTCTTTCACTCTGCTAATTGTATCGTTTGTTGCACAGTTTTTAAGTCTGATGTAGTCCCCTTGTCTATTTTTGCTTTTGTCATCTGTACGTTGGTGTCATACCCAAGAAATCTTTGCCAAATCCAACATCATGAGGCTTTTCTCCTATGCTTTCTTCTAGGAATTCTATAGTTTCAGATCTTACATTTAGATCTTCAGTATATTTTGAGTAAATTTTTGTATATGGTTCAAGAGAAGGGTCCAACTTCATTCTTTTGCATATGGAACAACATGAGTTTTAACCTGTTTTCACCTATTGACTCTGTGAGGGTGTGGACTATGTCCTAATTGTCCACACACTTGCAGAGTCCCAAGCGCATACAGGCTCTTTAGGAAATGTTTCACATCAAGTGAGCACAGTGAAGACGGTGGGCTGATTGCTGTGCTAGAATCGTTCACCAGCAATGTCTGTTTCAAATGCATACAGTCATACTCATTGAAAATCCCCAGCTAGCTCCTACTAGTGACAAAACACAGCAACTGGATGCGATAATCTTCAGGCATCGGAAAACAGAACAAATCAAATCTAAGAAACAAAGACTTGCGATTTTTCATATTTTGGGAAGTCTTCTTCTAGCTCACAGCATAATTAGGCCAAAGTTAAAGGCAGTCAGTGTTCTCTTCAAACGTGTTTCACACCCTGACTCGCAACGCTGGTTCCAGGCACAGCCTGAAAAAGTGTATCTGGGAAGGGGACCAGATTCCTCCTATAACTAAAAAATACTTCACGTCCAGTAGCACAAGGACAGGCCAGAGGTAACGTTTTGCCTTTATCTACACAATCAATGAACTTCAGAGATCACTGTGTGTCAAGTGTCCTCAGGATGTGGGGCTTGGATGGGCGAATGGCAACCTCTCATGCATAACAGTGAGGGTCGGGGAGCAGCAGCCACCCCTTCCCCGCCGAAGACAAAGGATTCCAACCCGGTGTGGTTTCCCGTGCTGACACTCCAGTCTGTGATTCATCATAAGCCCTGGGACTGGACTTTTACTTATGGGTAAGAGAAACCGGATTTATGTCTCTAGCTGCCCCAGTACAGCTCAATGGAGGACATCGCAAACTGATGCTGGAAGTAAGGAGAGAGAAAGAAAGGTTTGGAGGACAAAGTAAGGGCACAGTCCATTGCTGAAGTTAGTCCTCTGTTACTCCCTGCTGCATCAAGGACCCTGGACAGCTCAAACTGTTAGAAACCAGACGGCAGAATTGGAAAGGAAAGCTAGCAAGTCGTTCATTAAGAAGACAGCCAGCCAATGGCACCCTTGTTTCTCCTTCATCTGTCCTTGTTGGAGTGATTTGTAGACTGGCCTGGAGATGAACTTCCTCTTGGGAAGCAGAGCAAGAACACACTTTTAGAGAAGGATGGGAACTCCGAGTTGGGATCAATCTGCAAGGAAATCCACATCTTCTTAGGAACAGCAAGAGGCTGCTTATGGGAGGGTCTGGAGAAAACTCCACCTGTCCCAGAGGACCTCAGGCCAAGGTAATGAGCAAGAGGATAAACCAAGGTCCTGTACCAGTCCTTGTTCCCTGTATAGACTGAGACCCAGGGCACCTGTGTTTGGCAGAAACGAGATTAAGATATAAGTGAAAAAGAGAAGAAATAAATAGTCTGGAAAGAATTTGGAGCCTTTGTTGTTGGTGAACTTTCGGTCTCAAATCTGTCCATATTCTTCCTGCTTGAACAAACCGTCCCACTCTTCCATGTCCAGGTCAAATCCAGGTCCTGGGATCACTGCAGACCATCACTGTGGTCTCTCCCTTCTGTAAGCTCCCGCAGCAGGGAGAACTTTTTACTCACTTAGGGGCAAGCAGATACTGTTTTCTTCTATTTGCTTCTGCTCTTTGTTTCTTGTCTTACTGGAAGGCCAGGAGGTCACTCATAACATCTGGCAGACTACTAGGCAATGACAATCAGGGAAAAGGCACTCTGTGCTTTAGACTCATCTGCTAACATTGACATCATTTCCTTTATTGGTGTGGATAAGATTTTGTTGATCTATCTTATCTGTGGAGGGACTCCTAATAAAATAGAAAACATCATGTAACTATTTTTTAAAGTTCTCATTGTAGAGTGCCTGGGTGGCTTAGTCAGCTGAGTGTCTGCCTTCAGCTCAGGTCATGATCCCAGGGTCCTGGGATCAAGTCCCATATTGGGCAGGGGGGGGGGGTCCCTGCTCAGCAGGGAGTCTGTTTCTTCCTCTCCCTGTCATACCCCCTGCTTGTGCTCTCATGCTTTTTCTTGTAAAAATGAAATCTAACCCCCCCCAACATTTGTTAAAAAGAAAAATAAAGTTCTCATTGTGTACTTCCTGATGGAACGATGGGACATTTGGGATTGTCTTCAAGTGATGAGGGTAGATCCCTAAAGCAAAATGCTATATGAGAGAAGCCAGGTGCACAGCACACCCGTGATGAGATTCCAGTGCTCTGAAGTTCTAGAACAGACAAAACTAGTGATAGAAAGGTCAGTGGTTGCCTACAGTTGGGGACAGGGGGGTAGATTGCAAAGGGGCTCAAAGGAACTTTTTGGGGTGATGAAAATACTCTGTATCTTGATGTAGGGTAGTGGTAAGTAAGCGCCTGATGGGGGATGTATATTTTCCTCAGAACTTGTTGAACTGATTAGAGCGGTACGTGTTACTGTGTATAATTGTATCTCAGTAAAGTTGACTGAAGAAAAATATATGGAGGCATACACACACACACACACACACGCACGCACACACGTATACATATAAAGAAACACAGATGCGAGTGTGTTCACAAATAGGGGAAGGACGAAGAAAGGCTGAGGAATAGCAGGGACGGGGATGGCCATGGGGGGTTACAGCTGGCTGACATGCCCCCGTGAGTTCCTCACCCAATTCTATTTTTGCACATTAACACTCAAAAATAAGTCTTCATTTTGTTTCTCCGTAACTGAAAATTATCTCTAAGAATCCTACCCAAGCCCAGGACAATGACCTTCTTCTTCTCGATTTCTCCTGGTTATGAGGGTTTCTCAGGCTCGAGGACCCAATTCCCCCAGGCTTCTCATGACAGGGGGGTGGGAGCTCCCCCGACTTCCGCCGTTGCCCTCACCCTCACAGTCTAAACCCAGGCCGGCCCCCACCCATGGTGGCTTCCAGCAGGCCACGGCTGGTGGCTCCATCACCCTCCTCTGCCCTCCTCCCCACTCACCAGGAGGGCCCTGGCCCCCAGGCAGCCCAGGAGGTCCCGGGAGGTAGGCGTTTGAGGCCAGTACTTTGTTGCCGGTGATGTACTTGCCCAGGTCGGCAGCGCTGCTGGGGAGCAGGGCGATCTGTAAGGAAGAGGATCTCTGGTCAGAAAGTGATGGCTCCAGGCCAGAAAGACGGTTGCATCTGTGTGTTTGCAGGGGCTGCCAGTCCTTCTGGTGGTCGTTCCCCTCCATCTTCAAAGGGGTCTAGGGATCTGCTTCCAAATCCAGAGGCCTTCCAGTGAACATGACTTGAGGGAGATCCCTTGGCTGATTAGTGGATAAACCTGGACAGGCTCCAGATAGTCTAGATATCATCACTGACTCATTATTACCAAACTGATAGAATTGACCTGTTTCAGACATTCAATGTGTTAATTACTGTATTTAGTACCTACTATGTGCCAGGCCCTGTGCTTGGTTATAAAGTGACAATGGCGATCAAGACACGGCCCCTCAGCCTTGGGGGCCAGGACCGAGAAGGTGGCTTGCAGTTCACCTACACACTCAGGTGTTCGGGAACGAGTGGCCAACAGTGCCCATGATGGAAAAACAGGTCCGCAAAGTTTTGGACATGCCTACCTTCAAAAGGTGGTGCCTAACTTCTGCCCTCTGAGGGTGGGCTGTACTTAGAGACTCACCTCCAATAACTGGAAAATGGCAGAAGTGATGGTGGGTAACTTCTGAAATGGAGGCATAAAACGTATCATGGTGGCTTCCTCTTCGCTTTCCCTCCTGGGTCACGAGCAGCTCACTCTAGGGGAAGCCAGAGGGGCCACCCAGACAGATGACCTTCACAATCCTTGAGGTCAGGTAAGCTGTGTGAATCCATGATACCCTCTGGGAGAACCAAATGCTACAAACCTACAGTTTGTCACCAATAAAGGGAACTTCACCACCCACCTTTAGGGCTGTGGGGACTTAATGGGAAATGTAGGTTAGGTGCCCAGCACAGGACCTGGAACATAGTAAGTGGCTTGATAAATGGTAGTTCTAGTCTCTGTCTTCCAGGAAGCTAATTTGGCGGGGCAAAGTCAGGGGGAGAAAGGCACATTTATGGGATCAGAGCTAACCTCTCCAGAAGGCTTACTCTGGATCCTGGAGGCCCATAGAAACCAAGTATCTGAGATTTTCTGGAACATGTTACATCTGTCCCTGTATCCTCCTGGAGGAGGCCCTGCTTGGAAACCCTGTGCCCAGAGAGCAAGAGATTCCAGGAGAAATAGTGTGGCAGAGCTCCTCCCTAGCCTTGGAATGCTCTGATGCCCCACACCCGTCTTTAGATCTGAGAGTTCAAGCCTAGAGGATGGGATCAGCTCCCTTTGCTCCCCAGTAAAAGCCATGAGGTGATCCAGTAAATGTCTCCGCTTCCCATCTGACCTCCTGCTGGGTGGTTACAGCCCGGTTCCCTTTAGTTCCCTGATGCGATGCATCAGTGGGGTGTGTGGAAAGTCAAGGCGCTAGTGTTTTGGGGGCAGATGTCCAAGGTCCTTGGCTTGACTTTGCTGCACAAACACAGCAGAGGGTGGGCTGGTGGGATGCAGGTGTTTGCGAAGGTCACAGTCATATAGGAAGAGTCTACGTTAGCCTGGACTCCAGTTGCCGGAATCACGAATATCATTATCTCGTATTAACCTTTGTAGTAAAGCATCTACCTCATAGAGCTGCTGGTAAGAATCAGGCAGGTGCTGCTGTGAAGCACTTTGTAAGCGCATATGATTAACATTATGCATACAATTAATGTTATTTAGGGGCTCTTGAGGGGCTCAGTCAGTTAAGTCTCTGACTCTTGGTTTCAGCTCAGGTCGTGATCTCAGGGTCATGAGACTGGGCCCCGCATGAGGCTCTGCACTCAGTGGGGTGTCCACTTGACGTTTTCTCCCTCTGCCCCTCCCCCCATGCTCACGCTCTCAAGTAAATATTTACTTTCAAATATTTTATTTATTTATTTGTCAGAGAGAGAGATGGGGGGAGAGCGAGCGAGCATGTGAGCAAACACAGCCAGGGGGAGCAGGAGGCAGAGGGAGAAGCAGGCTCCTCGCTGAGCAAGGAGCCCAACGCGGGACTCGATCCCAGGACCCCGGGATCATGACCTGAGCTGAAGGCAGCCGCCAACTGAGCCACCCAGGCATCCCTCAAATAAATCTTTTAAAAAATGTTGATTGGTAAGCATTTACAAAGCTCTAAGTAGCAAACACTGTCTCAAGTCCTTTATAAATGTTAATTCATTTGATGGTCACGAAAACAAAAATAATATTGTCCTCCCCTTTTAATCCAGGGGAGGCACGGAGACGTTAAGTCACTTCCCTAGGGTCATATATCCAACAGGTAGCGGGGCTAGGATGTAAACTTAACTTATGTGGCTCTGGAATCTGTGTTCCCGACACCACAGCAAGCTGCCTCCCTTGACGCTGCCAGCGATGCAGTGACTCCAGTCACTGCAGTATGGCTCAGGCTTCCCCGTGTCCTGAGAAGGGCCCTTCTGCAGAGCAGCTCGATCAAGGTAGCAGAGGAGGTCACAAACGACTGAGGAGCCATTTATTTGCCTGGCCCTAACGGCGGTGCTAGAAGGCGTAAAGGCAGACAGCGGGATGCAGTTGTGCGCAGGCCTCCGAACCCGCACTGGCCTCTAACTTTGGAGGCTCTGTCTGCTCCCCGCCACGTGGCAGCTGTTGGTGGACTCACTGCTGGTCTGACTGCCCAGATAAGACAGCTGATGAAGGCAGGGCTTGATTCCGCACTGCCCGTATTCCCTCGTCTCCCAATCTACCGGAAGGCATAATAGATGCTCAATAAACCCTTCCTGAGTCATCAGTCATGCTCTGCAGTCACGCCCCCCAATCAAACAGTCCATGCAGCAGGAGCCCAAGGGGCTTTCTGGAAACTGGCTTCTTGCCTCAGACTTCCCCCCACTGACAGGCCTGGTGCCCTCTTTACAAAGGAAATGACGGGTATTTTACTTATTCCCAAATCTCTCTTTCTAGCCAAATCACTACCCCCCACCCCCAAAGAGTCATCTGCATACAATTAAAAAAAAATTTTTTATCAGAAAATGAAAGCACAGAATCTGGAAACCCCACAAATGTATATCCTAGCAAATGAGTATAAGGCATGTATCTTTTTAATGAAACCTAAGTCAAAAGACAGAACTCAGCCACTCACCAGAAGTCACCCTCCATGAGTTCTGACCCAATCACAGTCTCATCCTTCCTGTACCCCTCCCCCTGCCAAAAGTAACCGCTATCCTGATTTTCATGACTTCCTGTGTTTTAAAAATAAGTTAAAAATAACCTAACTATGCATGCCCACACACTCTGGTTTAGTCCTGGTCATTCTACAAAAATAACAGGTCTTTAAAATTTCTTTTAATCTGCAGGTCACTGCTCTACCTTTCTTTTCCTTACAATTTACCCACCAAGGAACCCATGGGGGTTCTGGAACTGTTGAGTTCCCCATTTTACTGACTATACTCACAGCACAATTCAGCATGTCTGCCTACCATGTTCTACCATGGGGTTGGCCATGGTCCAGGACACCCAGTACCTACTTCTTGGCCAAAGTGTATTTGGGTGGATGCCCTACATTCTTTCCAAAAGAACAGAGGGCATCTGTCCTAGTGAGATGAAGTTAAAATCCAATAGACAATCCTGTCCCCTGCACAGGGGCAGAAGCGTGGCCTGCCTCTTGGGCAGTGACTTGACTTCTCTGAGGATACCTGTATCTTTCTTACAGGGTCACGCTGGGAATTAAATGAGATCCTGGATGTAAGACTGCTTTATCAACTATAGAATGCAACACATGCTTACAGATGCCTTTAGAAAGGAGTTGCTCCTCATGATGTTCTTTAAATGCCAGCATTAGCTCAGACTTGCAATGATGCGTTTGCAGAATTCAGTATGAGGTGGACCAATTTCAGTCTGAGTTACTGCAT